ATCGTCGTTTTGTGCAAGGGTGGCGCAAGATTATTGCAAAATTTCATGTTTTCCGTCCCGTTTTGCATGTTTCTTGGAAGCAAAATGAGCAAGAACGCTCGTTTCTACATCATTCCAAAGAGAACTAAATGGCCTTTTTAGAAAGTGAACCATCGATAAGGAAATGTTGCAGTTTTCTCAAAAAATGCTTGAATTCAAGAAGTTTTAGATTTGCATGGTATTTTTTTGAGTTGCAAAATCCACTTGAACATGACGCTGCTTTTTTCGAAGTTTCTCAAGAACCATTCGAGCCACAGAATTCGTTTTGGCATCGTTGGATACAGAATTGAAAACTCGATTCAGTCGTAACAACGTGAGTGAGGAAATTTGAACAGTTTTGGCCCAGAAAGCGAAATTTGAATATCAGACACTTAGGTGCAAGATTATGCCAAAATTCCATGTTTCCCGTCCCGTTTTTGCTCATATCTCTGAGGAAAAATGAGCAAGAACGCTTATTTGTACATCATTCTAGAGATGAATAAATGGCCTTTTGGAGGTTTTTTTTTAGTTGAAACCCACTTGAACATGACGCTGCTTTTTTCGAAGTTTCTCAAGAACCATTCAAGCCACCGAATTCGTTTTGGCATCGTTGGATAGATAATTGAATGGGTGGGGGTGATGACCCCCATGACCCCCCCTCCCCTGGATCCGCCCTTGGAATAACTAGCATTCTAATAATAAGCCACCACGAAACACTCTGTATAAATTTAACGTTCACTGCAACCCTCTGTCAAGTATGCAACCAGCAATCACCGCGATTTTGCTATCTCTATCTCTATCTGGCATCAGATAAAACAGAGACAAACAGCTTTTAACCTCGACTAGTAAACGACAGTCGACAGTTACAGTTGACATCACAAGTTGACATGCGACATGCGATATTTGCCTACGACAGCGTTTCTTCATTGTTTGTCTTCCCGCGCGGTTCAGTAAATAAAAAATGTTCGTTAACAGCACCCAGAAAAGTATAAACTGTAAAAGTGTGTCGAATATAGCCCAAAGGAGCCGATCTTAATAGTACAGCATTTATTAGAACAATTTCGCTCTTGCTTTGTTTAGAACTTTTTGTTTACGTTCATAGCAATGGAGAGCCAGTTAATGTGTTCGATTTACGATGAAATGGCCGATCATTTAGACGCAACGGGAAACATAATTAAAAACATCGATAATGCCACATACATTCGGCATATAAATTTAGTAAAAGACGATCTCAAGTCAACGTCGGAACGGCATCGAACGGCAGCCTTTCAGGTGCTTCGAATGTTTGCTGATAACAACATTCACAGCATCCAGACGGACGCTTTAGATCTTTTACGTGCTTCTAACATCGATTCAGAACGGAAGAAAAGCATTTTGAGCTCTCTGGGCCTAAACCGCATCAAGATTAGTTTGACTAATCGGAACATTGAAGACTTGGACACACTCAATGCCGCATGGAACACAACACGTTCACCTCAGGTTAGTCCTAAGACGATAACATGTGCTTTATTTGTATTGTTATTATCAGCAATTGGCTGCAACATACCTATACGATTAGTGGAAAGAACACCCATGGCTGTGTTTCATTTACTGACTAGGTACAATGTGTTTAGGTAGCTAATGCAGCGTTATTCACAAAAATTCTCGAACGCAGTACTTTGCCTTTGCTGGAAAATTGAATTAATTTCCGAACGCCTAATAACTCTAAAAATACAAGTCACTCGTGCTAGCGAAATATTAAGAAATTATTTGCACGACTCCCTAATAGTCAGACAAAATAACCCGTTTTCAGCGGGTTTCAGCGACCGAAAAGTTGCTGGAAATTTTGTGTCACACTTTACATGTTTTCCTTCGGAATATAAAGAACTTCGCAAGTAGTTGGTTGTCGCAAATGCACTAACATAATTAAGCCTTATTGTTTAATGCAAATAATAACACCTGCGCATCTCTTTAAATAATACAACATATAACATTTAGAAAAATGTGTGTATTTCTTCAGTTTTCAGAAATTTTAACAGATTTTATTGCTGATGCGGAGCATAAGCAACATGCTAAAGATATCCTTCTCACTGTTCTCCTTCCATATATTCTGGATGCGGACAACATGCAAAATGAGTCAATGGATCGCCGAATTAATTTAGCATTACAATTCGCATCAGCAATTCCAGTTTCAGCTTTAACTACAAAGGAATCTGAGGAGCTTACCGCCGGCATTGATAAGTGAGTGTGATAAAACCGGAAAGATCCAGCAGCTCTATATGCTTTTAACTCTGGGTTTTAGGTACATAGAAATAATTTCTCAGTTGAGAATCCAAAATAACGTCTACTGGCCCAAGCTGTGGATATTCTTTGTGCGATGGTTTGGAACAAAACTGCACGATAGGCTAAATCTGGTCAACAAACTATTGAGAGTCGTGGAAAGTGCATTTCGAAGTTCGTCTAATGAGGAAAGACTCCGGGGATACGATTGTTGGAATGAACTGATTAAAAATGCCGGTCTCAATGTGACTTATTTGAGTAGCCCTAGGCAGCTGAAGTTGATTTTAACACCGCTGAGAGCCAAGTTTTCGAAACGGGAACCTTTGATCACCAAAAGGTTCGAGCTGTTTGTTTTTCTATTGGAACAGCTGCAGGACAAAGCTGTTCTAGTTTTAAAAGAGTTCTTGGAGTTTTGTTTCGGTGAAATAGGAGACAGTACAGATATGAAAAGATCCGGCTTTGTGAAACGCTTGCCAGAGTTATGTCTTAGGTGTACGGAAATTTTGCTCCTGATTATAGGTGAGTGCTTGTTTACGACGTTACTAATTATTTATATTTGATGTGTGAACTTTTGCAGGCCATTCCCATAAAAACACGGAAAAATGTCTGACCGCAGAAAGCGACGTGCATCTAAGCTCACCAGTTGTGAACAGTGACAATATAGAAAACCTTTGTCCGAATGTTTTAGAGGCCGTATCCGAGTGTAGTAAATTGCTAGAAAACGCGCAACTGGAGTGTGAAAAGGCCCACGTTAGTAAATCTTGAACCTGACTTAGGCCTAGGATTAATCTTCACTTTACTTGCAGGTCCTAAAATGCCTTTGGAGATCATTACTCATGCTTATTCTAGATGGGCAAAAAAAGCCTACTATTCACAAGCGTTTCTGCCTGCTAGGAACAGTTTTAAACAATCTCCTAAACGTAAGAACTAGGCTCACTTTGCACCAATTCCACGATAATAATCATTGACTCCTTTCAAATTCTAGGGTAATAATCCATATTGCCAATCAATTGCGGCCATTATTTTTGAAGAAACAGTCGCAATGGGCAAGGACAAGGCTTTGGCTCTAGTGTTGAGCCAATTAGATAATTTTATGAGTGTCATATTTACAGTACCTTTGAATGAAGACAGGTAAGACAGTAAATGTTCCAAACGGAAGCGACCGAACTTAAATTTCACTATATTTCAGGCGAAAACTGATTCAACATTTTCTGGCAATGTTTGATAATCTGGAAGGCGCCCATAGGGACAAAGTGAGACATCATATTTCTACTAGTTTCATACAATTCAGAACCAGACAGGAAAATGTCGATTGTGTTAGGGACGTTTGGATGTATGCAGTCAACGAACTGGAGGATTATGCCAAAGGAAGCTCTCTAGATTTTTTGTTGTGGCCCGTTTTGTATTTGCAACAATTAGAAGAACAGGTATGTTTCGCCGTTTTTTTAGTTGAAATTTATACCAGAACGTAGTATAAAACTCCACAGAATGAACACGCGATAGTGTGTGAACACTACAAGCGCCGACTTGTTCCCTTCGTCGAAAAGTCGGAGGAGCTGAAGCTGGCTTTTTTCAAGCAACTAGAAAAAACAGTGAAGAACAATCCACTGCTATTAGCGAACGTTCTCACCATACTCAAGATGTTCCCTGCGAAAACCAGTCGGAAGGAAATCGGTGAGTTTCCATCAAGCTTCTTTAGGCATCAACCCTCATTGTTCTCCTGTTGTTTCAGCTGACGTTACTTTCAAGATGTTGGATTTGATGTTATCAGTGCCAATGACAGGTGGCAATAAGGACCGAATAGTAGCCGATATCGAAGTCCTGGTCAATCGCCAGCTTGATGCTGATATATCAACTATGTCCGAGCCAGGAATTATCCAGATAGTTTGCACTTGCATTCAAAATCTTCTGAAACAGAAGCACTACCTCGCCTTGCCCCATCTTGAAAACCTTATAAAAGAAAGCACCGAAGCTATCAAACCGCTGTACCTAAAATCCCTTGACGTCGATTTTCTCATGGAAATTTATAGTAAGGAGACTGAAACTACTACCGATGCGATTCCGACAATTTTGCAAATGATAAGGCCTTTGGAAGTTCAACAAGAACAGCCGGCTGCTTTACCTCTAAAAGGCCGCTCTGCCAAAATTGCAAAACTGGTTAAAGAAATTCCACAGAGTCCCACAAAGGTTTCTTCAACAACGGGTATTCTGAAATATTTTGGAACAGACATGGAAACTACTCCAACGAAAATCGTGGGCAGTCAATTGCATAAACAACAAGGAAAGTCTCCTAAAAATACGCCTACATCTCAACAGAAGAAGAATAAGACCTGTATTGATGAGGAAAGTGAAAGCAGATTTGTGCTGATTGAAACCGAAGTGAAAGTCGACAAAAACAACTTAACAGATCATCAAATAGAGACTTTGAAGAAGCGTCGTGAAGACATCCCTGCTTTGTACCAGGACCTATCACAGAGCGTCAGTCAAAGTTTCGACTGCCCGCCTTCTGTTGACGTCGCGGCAGACACTGAATACTTTAAGAAGCCCCTTGAGTTAAATGGTATCAACACTGAGGAGCTCACAGCTATTCGACAAGAGCACGAAATCCCTAAAAGTATCGCAGAGCCAAATAAGGACCAGGAATTCACTGAGGTAAAGCATGACGAATCTACTAAATCCCAAAATAACAAGGTGGAGAATGGAACAGCAGATTTAGAGCATGATAAAGAAGCTGTTGAACTGAATAATGATAAGACCGATGAAGTCCCAAATATCGAACAGGAAAATGAAGAATTAGTTAATAACTTACCAGCTGAAGTCCCTGCAGAAGTAGAACCGACCACTAAGAAAGAGGAAGTTGAGAAATCGGATATTTCCAAAGCGAGCGCTGAAGGCGCAAATATGGGGCCTGCGAATGAAATTCCTGCTAAAAAAGTTGAAAGGAGAATCGATTTGGAATTGAAGAAACTGAGCATGAACATTGTGGGGGCGAATGATTTTTTCTCGGTTGGTTCTAGAAGGAAAAGGCGCACTAATACTCCGAACAAAAAAGAATTGCAAGGAAATCGCTGTACCGATATTAAACATGTAACTGCAGATAGTAAAATAAGTTTTTCAGATAAAGCTAACAGTGAGACCAAGAAGCGAAAGAAACTTTCCGACGCTCGTCGTTCATCAATCCCAGTTAATCCAAAAGTCCTTACTGTTAAAGGAAATCACATTGATTACTCTGGTGTGTTGTGCAAAAATGACACGCAAATTGACCCGTCTCCAGATCAACTAGAGACAAAACTTGATAAAAATAAACGATCGAGCAATACAGAAATCGATGAGAACAGAAAAATCCGGAAAACTAGTCGCATTAGTGTTGCATTCAAAAAAGTTCCAGATTCGAATCCAAAGGGCAATGTAGGGAGAAAGTCTTTAGGCCTTGTATCGCCCGCAGAATCACTGAGTGAAGATGACAAACCGTTAAAAGCACTCCTGAAAAAAGCTATAAAAGAACCTGCTATGGAGAAAATGGAAACTGATGATAACAATCAAGACGTAGTCAGCAATGGTGAAGCCAAGGCAGAATCTAAAAAAGTTCAGAAACATCCTGGCAGGAAACGTAAGCGTGTCAGTGACAGCGACGACGACGACGATATAATTGAAAGCTCTCAGGAACCCAGCATTAGCAAAAAAGAACCACGGACTCCTTCGCGTGGTCGACGCAGCAATACAATCGAATCGAATAAGTCAAGTCGTAAAAATACCTCCGTAGAACGTCAAAAACAATGTAGAAAGAGATCTTCAACAGTTGATGAGTCCATTGAGACAGTCGTTCACACAATATCTGCAAATGGGTCAGCAAGATCAGCAAGGAAGAGAAAGGTGAAAGCAATAGTTTGTAAGCTATTGAATTTTTCAGCGCCAAACCTACCAAACGTTGGTAATGATCATACGTACATGTTAACGGAAGAAAACAGCGCGACAGGTTGCGATGCTGATAAAGAAATTGTTGATGCAAAGGTAAAAAGCACTGTTTCGAATGACGACCTAACTATCACCGCTGAGGAGGAAAATCAGAGCAAAAATGAATCGAAAACGGAAATTTCGCCCAAACCGTTACGTCAATTACCGGAAAGTAGAACGGTCCCTCTTCGCAAAAGCCTAAGAATTCAACACGAAGGCGCTACCCCTGACGAAAACACAAAAAGCCCGGTTTGCGACAATAATGTTGCTGTAAACCCTGAGGTGGAAGTTCAAAAGAAAGCTCAAACGGAATGTGTGCCGAAAGTGTTGCGTCGATTAAGGGACAGTAAATCGCCGGTCGTTCGGAAAAGCCCAAAAAATCAACAAGAAGGCCGGCAGCCAAAAGAGGCAGCTGAAGAACCAGCACTTGCAGAACGTAGTTTGTCTGCTGAGGACTTAATCAAGCGAACCCAAAGCCAAGACACTCAGACGCAGGACAGTGAGCCAATCGCCGCATCTGCAAACGCTGTTGAGGTTAGGCTGGAGGTACCGCAAAAGACGGAGCTGACTAAGTCGGAGCAAGAAATCGCCGAAATTGAAACAGTTTCAATGACTTTGACTGATTTACCATCGGAAAATATCACGTCTGATCTTATGTTATACATCAACGACACTCTGGTTGAAGACAATATCGTAGCACATAGCAAAATGGACGTGGACACACCTTGTAATGAAGCAGAAAATTCTGAAAGTCTGATCAAATCAGAAAGCGTCACCGATCCAGACGTTGTGGATGAGAATCCTGACAGCGACCCCGTTACAGCCGACGTGCAAGGTAAGAATAAAAGTGTCTGGTTCATGAATTATTTGCAAAATATTTTCATCATTTGCTATGTCTTTTCCCTCATCGTAGTCTCCTTGCGTCTAACTTTTCGCCCTCACTTTAATTCGCCAAGGTTGGCTTTAATCCACATTTATTTATTCCTTTCACAAATGCCTGTCGGATTTTTTAGCGGCTGTCGGCTCATCTCTTCCATCGTCGCCAGTAACGGTGGAAACGCCCAATCGAAACGCCGAGTTTCTGAACAATACAGTGGACATTTCACCCATCAATTTCAAATCGAAGTCAGATTCTGAAGATGAACAACTGCGAAATACGAAGTTAGTGCCTATTGCTCTGAAATTCGATTCGGAGGAAGAGCAGCAAAAGTCGCCGGAAAAGGCCGACGATGCTCCATTGAAAACCAACGAGACATCCACAGAAGACAGTGCAAAGGAAAGTGATTCGGGCCCAAAAGCGCCTGCTGAAGATGATCAAAATCAAGAAGTCAAGAGTGCAAATAAAATAAGTGTGTTTAAGCCGACGACGTCGTCCGCGTTAAAGTACGTACCGCCGATTGTTTTATGGTTTAAAGACCTAAAAGCGAGCTTGAGTGTATTGGTGGGCTCATTTGTTGGTTTACAGGTTTGCTGGTCGTCGGAAAATCAACTATATGTCGCCCTCAGTCTCGCGAATAAAAAAACTGATGGCCAAAGTGAATCCGCAGTCGCAAAACGACGAGTATCACACATCAAAACCAGAAGATATTCTCACGTTCAGTCGAGAAGTTCCCAGTCCGCTAGCTACTCCAAAAATAGGAATTTTGAAGAGGAAGCATCCAGATATTCCTGACGATGAAGTGTCGCCATGCCCCAAGGTTCGTATTGTTTAAAATCAGTTGATAAATTAAATCAACTATAATTTCTGATTGTTTCAGCGAAAACGGGTGAACTTTAGCGATCCTTGTACAACATCTAAAAAGGTCTTCCTCAAATACGATAGCGCATCGCCGCAATGTCTCTTTCCGGATGACGATTTGGATAAACAATTCCTGGAAGTTTTAGCTGCAAACATCGAAAGTTACCCGGCAACTGAAGCCGAATCGTGTAGCAGTGAAGCGGATTGTAGCCAGGAATCGATCAATAGTTTACCGTTTCGAGAGGATGCACCTATTTATCCAGATTTAATCAACTGCGAAGAAAACATCGGCGTTATATCAAGGAAGCTGACGGCGCCGATGTTTGTCAACACGCTACTAACCAAATTAAACGTCAGAAATTTGAAGACAATTGGAGATTTAGCCAGATTGTCCGAGGCCAGCATAGTCAAGCTGCCATTTAAAGCGCCCATGGTTTCTACAGTGTTTAAAGTCCTAGATTCTTATTATCAGAAAAACTTTAAAAGCAAAGGAAACATGGAAGTTTCGATGGGCGTCTCTGAAGCTGCTCTAAATAAAAAAACTGATACTTTACCGGAAGCGGAGGAAGTAGATCTGAAAGACGAACTGTCTAAGATTGTAGAGAAAGCCATAAGTGCGGTAAGTTTTTTTAAATTTTTCCCCTACTGTATTGTGTGTTTATCGAGATTTTTACGGTTTTTTTATCTGTTCTAGAAAATACCACCAAAGACCATCTGCTCAGTTGTACTGAGTTCTCTAGACCAAAAGCAAATTCTCACCTGGTTTAAGCAGGATTCGAACATTGAAGTTAAGGATCTTGTGGAAGAAAGTGACTTTCCTACCTTAGTGACACACATTACCAAAACTCTAGGAGTCTCGAATTTAATTGAGATGCTTACCAAATCACCAGAGACATCAAAAGACTTTGAATGCAGCATTAGCCAAAATGTGGAAAAATTACCACTGGTTCGTATTCTCGAGAAAAGAAGCTTAGACGAAGTGCAGGCCGCTCTCTGGGAAACTGTAGATAAAGAGATATTCAGCAAGAAGGACTTGTTGCAAACCTGCTTTTTGTCTCGGATTAGTGTACTCGACTTAAATTCCTTTTTTAACAAATTGACTCTTGTTGAAATTGGAGATATCGTCATAAATCGTTTAGCTACTGAACAATATACGTTGTTTGTGAACCGAATTTTAAAACATTTCGAAGGAAGTGAAGATGCCAGTCTCAGTATTCTCAATAACTTCGACATAAGTGATCTAACCAGAAGCATCATTCAACGAGGAACTCCTCAAGAAATAACGTCATCATTCACCTGCTTGTTTCTATCCGCCGATAAGATATCTGAAGAATTGGTGCAAATATTTAGGGTAGTTTGCGACCATTTGGTTGATGAGCTGCCACCCTCTCAACTCATGGAACTGGCCATCGACTTCTTACGGAAAATCCCTATGGGAAAGTAACTACAATTGTATTTTCTCTCGTTCTGTTAGAGACATTTTTATGCTTTCCACGTTGAATGGTTGAAGCTTGTTCTAGTTATGGACGGTTTACAAGAATGTACAGTTTTATTTTGTTTATATACAGGGTGATTCACGTAGAGCGTGCATTAGAAGGGTTCCAACTTGCAGTCGTATTTTCGTACACCCTGTGTGGGGCTAAATGTATCTAGCGTGGTTTGGGAACTAGTCGTTATCACCGAAAACAAAATTTTAAGTTTCTAAAGTTGAACTTCTAATGCACCGTCTACATAAGTCACCCTGTATATAGGTAGCGTTGTTTAGATAATCTTTGAAGTTCTCCGGTTTAGTTGTAAATTGTAGCCAGTTATTAATTTTAGTTTTACTGCGAATAATAAAGTTCTTAAATTAATTGCCCAGTTTGATTTTGTTGCTCAAAACCTGACAAGATTCGAGTTCGCGGAAGGATTTTTTTGCGTTGTTTCTATTAAAGGTGCGTCTAATTTCAGATACTAAAGCGACTTTTTGTTGCATCGGGGAAAGTTCTCGCTGACTGAAGAGTTAATTTTTCTTAAGTGAAGTGGTTGAATTCCGAACTGTTTATGGCTTTTTATGTCGGATGGATTTATCGCGCTTTTTCAGCGTTATATTACATTATTCATACCGACTTTTTTCGGTGAAATCGTCCACTTATGGAATGAAATCATTGGGAATTAAACATAATTAAAACCCATACGTATGTATGTATTGCTATGTTTACATTTATTTATTTATTTATTTCTGGTCGTACAAAAAATCTTACACAAATAGTTATTACATTCACAAATGACTGTTTGTTTAATTCACAAATTAAAATGTTCTCAAAATGTCTTAAATTTTACATCATTTTCAGCTCACCGGCGCGAGGATTCATCGAGCTGATTGAAAAACGTGGTAGAAGTTTCAGATCAGAAATAATAGAGATTTTCGGCACATTTTAAGCGTTTTTTGAGCGGTCACGATCTTTAGCCGACGATTTCTTCCTTATTATTGACCCAAACACTTTATAAATGCATATTT